GTTCCCTCTAAGCTGAGTTAGTGTGAGCTAGCTCACAGTTTTTTAGCCTCTGGCTCACACATTTTTGTCTTAGCTCAGGAAGGGATGGCTCCAGAGCAAACTAATTCATGCAGTAGCCATATCGCTCGCTCACAACTTTAATCCCAGTAGCTCACAAAGTAGAATTTTTGCTCACAAGACTCCACAGCTTAGAGGGAACGTTGGTGCCAGGCCAACATATTTCTTTTTGCCCAGGTTTTTAACATAGGGGCTCCATCTGAGCTGTTTCACAGTCTGCTTCAGGACTGAGGGGTGTTTTATGAGTGGCGTGTTTAAAGTGTCAGGCTAGCATCTGGGAGACCAAGTTTTGAATGCCCACTCTGCCATGGAAACATGCTGCACAACCTTGGGCCAGTTACAGAGTCTCAGCCTAACCTACCTCACAGGGTTGTTGTGAGGGTAAAATGGAAGAGAGGGGAATGATGAAAGCTTCTTTGGGTCCCCACTGGGGAGAAAGATGAGATAGAAATGAAGTAAATAAATATAATTTTAGGCTGTTTGTTTGTTTTATGCCCTGGCTTGTTTTGAATGGCTTTTGGGTATGATTTAAACATGCAAGTATCTTTTGTGATTGTTGAGTTTAATAATATAATAGCCGGCTCTAACAGGATGTTTTGGCCTGTTATTTTATTGGTTTCCTCCAGTATCTGTACCCAGAAAGATTGTATCTCGGAGCAGGACCACCAGCAGTGATATAAATCACTATAAAAGATAATCAAGAAATATATAGCGGCCTCATGGAAATCTCCCAAACCTCCTACTATTCAGAACTGGCGAAATAAATGTTGGGATCATTTTATAATGGACAAGATTGCAGATAAATATGAAGGGCAAACGAGTAATCATACAGGATCTCGTACCAAATTTGTGCGCAGGTGGTTCCCTTTGATCACATATTTCGTGGAAAATGATCTACTACCCTCAAATCTTAACTATCTGGAATGGATACATTTTTGATTCACAGGTGTTTAGGCTGAGCTCTTATCATATAAATTTTAGAAGTGAAAAGTAGATTAGAAGTGAAAAGGCTAGTTATGTGCAATATACAGATTATGTGCAATATACAGATACTGAGTTGAAATTGATTGAAAACACAATGTAATATATCTTTCAGTATGGATGTTTGTATTGTTTTAATTAAATAAAATTTTGAAAACCAAAAAACAAACATGCAAGTATGAATTGCCACCATAAATGCTTTTGCCTTAGTCCACATTTTGTGCGGAAGATGCAGTGTACGTTACACGAGAAATAAATTACTGTTTTTCCTCCTTTGGCCGGTTCAGTTGCAAAGAACAACAGCTGCAATCCAGCGAGAATCCAGCTACAATGGCGATGTCAGTTGACTGCAGCGGCACCTGTCGAGGTTAAAAAACCCAAGCCTCAAATTCAGCCTGAAAAAAGGTAGGGGGGACCTCCATGGTGAATCATCTCCAGAGGAATTGGTGAAAGATCGTGTGTTATGTGTTGCTTATGCAGAAGTACCTCAGAGAGGAGAATAAACTTACATCTGCCATAGGATAGGGCCACTTTGGGCTGGATCCGATCTTCTTTCAAGGCAGGGCTCTCCTGGCACCCACCAAGTGTTTTGGGAAAGTAAGTGGGAGCAAGTGAGGCTCCTACCCAGCAGGGCTTCTGATTGGAGATTGGATTGGCCGTGCAGATTGAAGTAACGTTGTTTTAATGGCAGCCGCTACTACAGTTGTATTTTTATCCTCTCACTCCTTATTGCCAGTGTATTTTTAAAATGACTCCTCTGGTCCCTTCTCCTTGGACTTCCTCCGTATGTGTGGTTGATTTCGCCTCCCATGGCGGCTATTTTGTGGTTGACTTTGCTTCCTTTGGCAGCCATTTTGTGATTACATCCACCACTCCGGGTCAGAATTTTGAAAGAGCTCATGGGGTCAAAAGTGTTCATGACCCCTGATTTAAGGAGTTATCAAAGAGGAACAGCTCCTTCCCTCAGGCAGTGAGAACTTATTTCTTCTTAATTTCTGTCCTACAAAATGTGTGGCAGGGTATGAGCTTTCGTGAGTCACTGCTCACTTCTTCAGAAAACTCCTACCCTGCCTCAGATTCTTTTAGTCTTTAAGGTGCTGCTGGACTCTTGCTCTTTTCTGCGGCTACAGACAGACTAACACAGCTTCCCATCTTGAATTTCTGTCCCGCCTTTCTTTCATGGAATTCGAAGGGGTATGCAGAGAGGCCCAAGAAGGCCTCCTGTCCAAGTACTGACCAGATCCAGACCTGCTTAGTTTCTGCAAATGTTGTTGCCTCGTGTTCTTTCAGATCATGGCCTGGACAAGCTGTGTCAGCTTGTGGTATCTGGAACTGTGTTGTGGGGGACTCTCTCTCTCTGTGTGTGTGTGTGTGTGTGTGTGTGTGTGTGTGTGTGTGAAACCTAGTTCTGCTTTTAAATACCAAAGAGTTCAGTGTAATTTTGGAGATCTATCTCAAGTAGCTAAAAGTAGTCCAGTCAGGAGATGTTGACCTGATGTGTACTATAGCTCGCTCCTCATTTTAGAACTGGAGGGTGAGACTGTGATCACACACACGGAATAATCCATTATCAGTCCACTTTCAGTGCACTTTCCAACTGGATTTTACTGTGTGAACAGGCAAAATCCAGTTGGAAAGTGCATTGGAAGTGGATGATTTAGTGTGTGTGATCTCAGCCTGAGAGAGGGAGAGGCTGGTTCCATGAACGAATCTCCCGGGTGTGCTTGTACTGCCAAATAACAGTTCTCCCCCATTCAGATCATGGTATAGGAAGATAAGGAGCTGAACCATTTTCCCTCAGCAGGCCTTGTTGCGGGAAATAGATAAAATTTTGTGGTTTCCTTCAATAGGGGGAAAGTGCTCAGGAGATATGTGCTGCCCCAGCCAGCGTGTGAGACTGTAATTAAGCAGAACCGCCAGATATCTTTAAGAGCAGTGCTTCCTGGGAATTGAAGTCTTTAGTTAGACACCCCACAGCATCCGGCACACAAAGGCGTGCGAGGGTTCGAGTTACAACTCTCTTCCTGTAGCCTTTGTTATCTATAACCAGCAAGGAGTGGGGACAAGCATCCTTTTCACCATGAGCCAGTGAAAGGAATTAAATCACAAAGATGTGAGTAAAGAACTCTTATGAATGCATGTGAAAAACTGAATAAAAGTGATTTATTCTACTTTGGCTGTGCGTTGAAAACTATTCAGAAGAGATGTGAGTAAAGAACTCTTATGAATGCATGTGAAAAACTGAATAAAAGTGATTTATTCTACTTTGGCTGTGCATTGAAAACTGTCCAGAAGACGCTGTCGGCTCAGCGTTAGACGGAATAGTGAAAAGGATGCTTGTCCCCACTCCTTGCTGGTTATAGGAACTACAGGAACTACAGTCTCAAACGCTGGCTGGGGCAGCACAAGATACGTTTATTTATTAAAACATTTATACCCCACTTTTCTTTGTAGCTCAAGGCGGCTTACAAATCTCCATGTGAGTTTGACCTTAATCCATGATCTGTATTTTGCAGCAAGATTTATATAGTGCTTTGCTTCTTTCCAGGGCATTCAGTACTGGTATCCTGTGGGTTGGATCCTATGAATTTTGATGCTACCTTCTCATTCCCCCAAGAGCCTCTTGAGACCTCTGAAAAGCCAATGCTGGGGCAAGAGAGAGGCCTGGGAGCAAAATGCCTGGAAAGAGAAGGAAGGAAGCCACATGCTGTTAAAATTTAGTAACTGTAGTGAGAAATCCACTACAGAAATCCACTTTAAATCCCCTTTTGAGTTGGATTTTGCCAGTTCACACAGTAAAAATCCAGTTGGAAAGTGCATTGAAAGTGGATTATTTAGTGTGTGTGACCACAGGCTTTGATTAGCATTCCCAGGCCCTGGTTACACGGAGAATTTGCCGTGCGAAAGGCACGAATGTCAGGCGGATTTTCGGGGCGCGATCACACCGCAACATCTGGGAAGCGTAGCGCACCCATGGTGTCCCGCTGAAGATGCAGAGTTAAAAAGTACCAAGGAAAGTGCACTAGTATCCAGAAAATGTGTGGCCCAGGCGTCCGGTGCCCGTCCATGTCCCGTCACAAACTGAATGCTTTTCGTAAGCGCATGCTCACAAACGAAACTGAAAGCAGTGCTGCTCTGCGGAACTGCACATGCGCACAAACACGAAACTGAACTGCGCATGCGCACAAACGCGAAATGCTTGTGTGATCGCGCTGCTCTGCTTCTTTGCCATGCTGCAGCATCGCCGTGTGATCGTCAGCTAACAGCCAAAGCACAAAGGCTCGGGGGACCATGTGATTGGGCTACCGCACTTTATTTTGCTCTGGGGCAAACAGCCACGCCTCCTCTGTGCGTTATCTGGCCCGTGTGACCGGGGCCCTAGACATCTTTCATGATATCTCTGTGCCCTCACTACAGGAACACATTTTCCATGCACAACACTCTAGGTTTAGCTAATCCAGAGCCTACAGGAAAGAAAGGGGGCAGTTCCCAGTTTCCTTCCCTGATTCTACTGCCCCTATATTCCTGTGGTGAGTAAACATCACAGATCAGGTGAAGGACCTCTTGCCAGCTGGGAGTAAGTCACTGTTATCTTGAGTCATCGTATGCTAAAATTGTTCGTCATTTCTGTTTTCATAGGAAACCAAAAACAGGGATTTTGATGTTGAACATGGGCGGCCCAGAGACTCTGGGAGAAGTACATGATTTCCTCCTTCGGTTGTTTCTGGACCGAGACCTAATGACGCTTCCAGTCCAAAAGTAAGACGCTTTGCTGGGGCAAATTTCTTAGCAAGCAGAAAGAAGTCACGTCACACTGCCACAAGCTGAAAAGCACTGGTTTCAGATTTTAGCGCCTGGCTTTGCTGGGAATTATGTTAATTATTTGTTAGCCTTTCCTTTCTTGAAACTGTATCTCTTGAAAACCAAGTAAGACTCAGTTTACACAAACTGCAGAATTAGATGACGACAGTGTTCTTGGACTTTGTAGTACTTGGGCAGGAAGTGCGTGATTGAATTCATCAGTGTACAAAATTAGGTAATGGGAAGGCGCTCTAAATTCATCTTCTTGATGCTTCTGATACCTTCCTCTAGGGTTCCCCCCCCCCCATGTGTGCGTGTATGAGGTACAAAACTTTCAGACATACAGTCCCCCACCTGCACTCTTCAGTGGTGGCATCCAGGTGTGTTCATTCTAACATGTAGTAAACTGCTTGTGTTAAAAGCTTACACACCCAACAGCTATACCAAGAGCATGTCATGTAAATCTTTGTTGGAACCCGAGCACACATGAAGTTTCCGGTTTTCGTCCCTGGCATCTCCACTTTGAATCCTCAAGGCTTTGTTGACGACGTTATAGCTCAGCGATGTTATTCTAATGAGAGTACTTGACGAACTTTCACCAGCTGCTATTTAACCAGGGTTTGAAGCAGAAAATGGATAGACAGGCATCATATGCTTTTACCCCAAGTTATGGCTTCTTTTTCCTACCAGGTGCCACTGGCAAAACTTTGCAAACTTCTTCTAAGTGCGATTTCAATGGGATAACATTCAAGGAAGTGTGAAGTCATAGCCCCCTCCTTTGCTTAATTGCTTAATACATTAAAAATTATGATACTTTAAAAACGTAACGTCCCTCAACTTTGGCTACATACCAATCCGTGGCTTGGCTCCTCCAGTAAATCTCAATTTATGGAAGGGATACCTGTCAACAAAAAAAAGACTACTGCCTCCACCAATTACAGCCCCCGACGATCCCCAGGATGCTTCTGGGGGACTCCAGCAACCACATGAGGAAGGGATGGGAAATCTGCGGCAGGAGGGGTAACCAGTAAAAATCTCTATGCCCCAGGACTATTTTTGGGCAGGAACGCACAGGAACGGAGTTCTGGCTGGCTTCAGAGTTGGCCACGCCCACTACAGCCAAAACCTCTGCACATGTGTAGCTACAGAGGGAAGGCCTGGAGAGCGAAACCACCCCCCCGGTGACTCAGAGGTGGGCGAAGGATCGGGGAGGCATCCTTCCAGGGCCCCCATACCTTCCTCAGCCTGTCCAAGAGCTGGCTTGTCCGGGCTCCCCGCAGCCGCGGGGCACCTGCGCAAACCAAGGGAAGGCATGGGGGTGTGGCCTAATATGCTAATGAGCTACACTCTCAGGGGTGTGGCCTAATATGCTAATGAGTTCCTGCTGGACGTTTTCTACAAAAAAAGCCCTGCTATGCCCCCTTCTGTTAGTGGAATTTTTCTGCCAGATCTAACTTGTACAGTGGTGGGAGTCCTACAGTGTTTGGACATCTGGTGTGTAAACATGATGCACGTTACCAAGGAGAACTTGCTATTGTGTTCAAGTGGTGTCGTGTTTAAGTGGAGCCCTTGGCTGCTGTGTGCGCATTGCTGAGTGGGCATGCTGCCTACTCTCTGGGCTCATGCTGGCGATGCTTGTGTGGTGTCTGAGAACCCCATTTAAAGAAGGGGAGAAGAAGAGATTGGATTTATACCCCGCCCTTCACTACCCAAAGGTGTCTCAGAGCGGCTCCATGTTTCTAAGATGATGGCAGTCTATAGTGCTGGTACTAACTGACAACTCTGTGTGTTTTCAGTAAGCTCGCGCCCTTCATTGCAAAGCGGCGCACTCCGAAAATCCAGGAGCAGTACAGTCAGATTGGAGGGGGATCGCCCATCAAGAAATGGACAGCGACACAAGGAGAGGCCATGGTGAAGCTCCTGGACGAAATGGCTCCTCATTCTGGTATCTGGGGCCTCTGTTTTATGCTTGTTTTTTAACTTGGGGGAACCATGTAGGATGCTCTGAGCTTTACAGATTTAATGTAGGCCGCGGTGGCTCAGAGGTTAAGACGCTGAGCTGCAGATTGGAAGGTCTAGTTCAGCAGTTCGAGACCCAAGTGCCGTGTGACGGAGTGAGCTCCCGTCTCTGGCCCCAGCTCCTACCAACCTAGCAGTTCGAAAGCAAGAAATTGCAAGTAGATAAATAGGTACCACTTTGGTGGGAAGGTAACAGCGTTCTGTGCGCCTCGGCGTTTAGTCATGCCGCCCACATGACCATGGAAACATTTTCGGACAGCGCTGACTCTTTGGCTTGGTAACGGAGATGAGCACCGCCCCCTAGAGTTGGATTCAACTGGCTTTTGAGCAAGGGAAACCTTTACAGATTTAATGATCTGTAAATGCAGCGAGATAAGTGTGCTGCTTCTTTCACGATGCTCCGAACTGGGATCTCGTGGGTTGGAGCCCATGATCTATCTTGTTCTATCTCAATGGCGACAACAGTGTTTATTTAGGAGATTGTCGTGCTGTCTGTCCTGATGCCTGCTCAAGGCAGCTTATGAGTAAAATAGAAAAGTGCAATATTTAAACAAACAAGGCCAGGGACATAAAAACAGCATAAAACGATCCATAAAGTAGACCTCTGACCAGAAGCAGGCCATAAAACAGCTTAAAAGATAAACGAACCCTAATTAAAATTATGTGTAAAAAGAAATGTTTTGGCCTGGCATCTAAAAGACAATACAGTCCCAAAGTCGAGGTGCCACCACAGGAAATGCCCTGTCTCCTGTCATAACCACCCTGGCCTCTGAAAGTGGGGGCATGTTGGGGGCACAGAGAGCAGGACTGAGGAAGCAGATTGTAGCTTACAGTAGTGTTTTAATTAGTTCTCGGAGTCATCTTGTGCTTTTGCACTGGTATTTTACGAATGCAACACTCTTCCGCAGAAGAAAGCCAAAGGTCCATAAACGTTCCCTGTTTGAGAAGAAGTAGATTTGATGTGCTGAATCTCTTGTGGGTTGTTCTCCGCATGGGTTTTGAGGTGACTGGAATATTCCGTTCTAAGGAAATGTGGTGTGTGATTGTGATTGGGCCCCCGACGTTTTTGAACCTGTGGGCACATTTGGCATTCCAACACAGTATGGTGGGAGCAGCGACTCAGTGGCTGCTGCAGGAGGAGGCGCCAGCCACGAAATGTTTGCGGCAGCTTAACTTCAGTAACACAGTGCAGATCCTTGTGCTGTGGTGGCAGCTGCTGCCAAAGCCATGTATTTTTTTAAAAAAAATCTGCAATAGCCAATCAGAAGCCTTGCTGGGCAAAAGCCCTACCTATCCCCCACCATCCACCCACTTCCTAAAAACACTTGGGGGGCACCAAAAAAGCATCGGTGAATGCTCTGGTGCCCATGGGCACCACGTTGGAAAAGACTCTTGAGAGTCCCTTGGACTGCAAGAAGATAAAATCAGTCAATCCTAAAAGAAATCAACCCTGACTGTTCCCTGGAAGGCCAGATAATGAAACTGAAGCTCAAATACTTTGGCCACCCAATGAGAAGGGAGCACTCACTGGAGAAGACCCTGATGCTGGGAAGGATTGAAGGCCAAAGAAGACGGGGACGGCAAAGGATGAGATGGTTAGACAGCGTCATCGATGCAATGAACATGAAACTGAGCAAACTTCAGAGGACGGCGGAAGACAGGAAGGCCTGGCGGGATCTGGTCCATGGGGTCGCGAAGAGTCGGACTTGACTGTGCGACTGAACAACAACAACAAAAACGGTGCTCCTAGTTATTCACACAAAATGTGAAACAGCCCTTAGTGTGAAGCACTAAGAGGTTTCTTGAAAGTTCCTCTTTTGCCTGGTGTGTCTCTTCCCCCCCTGCCCCGGCTATGCTGTTAAGCGGAAAAACTGTCGTTGGTCCCACCCAGGCCTTGGGAGACACCTCCCCTGCATCTAGGCCAGAAGATAAGAAAGGCTGTTTTGAAAATGACAGGTTCGCTCTGTGTGTGGCGGGGTGGGGGTGTCTCTTCTTCTGAGTGTTATATCTGTGTAGGGGTTTACGTCTGAACTGATGCAAACATGCATAAAATACGCGGTATAGTCCTCTTGGTAAATATTAGTCCTTGAAAGGGAGTGTTAAGCTAGAACCTCTTGCAAGAGGTTTGTTTTACCCAGGCGGAGCATTCAGACAGTGTTTGTTTCCTGTTTGCAGGCCTCAGTGTGGTCCAGTTGACTGTGCCACCTCCTGCCTGTTATGGACCCATCTCTTGGGCCCCTCTGCTGGGATGATGGGGAGATGGGAGTAGAGGTGGTGGGGAAACTGAATAACAAGCAGATGCTGGGAAAAACTGAATGCATCCTGGCCTTTGTCCATGTCCTCCTTTGGACTGGGCTCTAGACAACACCCCCCCTTGAGTCCTTTATGAAGAATGAAAAGCTTTAAAAGGTGTATGAGAGCCAGTTTGGTGTAGTGGTTAAGTCTGCGGACTCCACTCCTCCACTCGCAGCTGCCGGATGAACTTGGGCAAGCCATAGTTCTGACAACAGCTGTCCTTGAAAGGGCAGTCCTCGAAAGAGCTCTCTCAGCCCCACCTACCTCACAGGGTGTCTTGTGGGGAGGGGAAGGGAAAGGAGTTTGTAAGCTGCCCTGAGGGCGGGATATAAATCCGATCTCCTCTTCTTCTTCTAAATAAATAATAGTTTTTTTAAAGTAGCTTTTTATTATTATTGTTTTAAATTAAAATAGGGATACAGAAAAGCAAGAGAAAAGGGGAAATATAGATATTATAATAATCTATTAACGTATTCATAACAAGGATAATCAACATCAGAGTAAATATAGAGCATTTAACATAAACATTGAAAAGACATAGTATTAGGAGGAGGAGGAGATTGGATTTATACCCCGTCCTTCACTACCCAAAGGAGTCTCAGAGCGGCTTACAAACTCCTTTCCCTTCCCCTCCCCACAACCCACAACAGACACCCTGTGAGGTAGGTGGGGCTGAGAGAGCTCTGACAGAAACTGCTCTTTTTCAAGAACAGCTCTTATCAGAGCTACTGCTATTTTTCAAGAACAGCTCTGACAGAACTATGGCTTGCCCAAGGTCATCCAGCCAGGTGCAAGTGGAGGCGTGGGGAATCAAACCTGGTTCTCCCAGATTAGAGCCCGCGCACTTAACCACTACACCATACTGGAAGGTTTTTACATACTGTATACATTTATTATTAAAGCCTAGCCTTTATTACCATTAATCACTATTAATATTAACTGTTAGTTATTGATTATTATATTATATGTTCCATTGCATCTTAATACAACTACGGTTGTCATAATCAAACTAAAAGGTGTAAATAAATAATCCTGGCTTGGCACGATCTCTCAGAGAAGCCTGTCATGGTTGAGCACTTCAGAGCTGAAGGATGGTCGCCCGTTGCCCTTTACCCGTGGCGCGCAAGTTGGTAGCTTTTTAAAAACAACAACACAGGGCTGGGTTCTCAGGAGCATCGAGTTAATCGTTTTGGGAGGGTTATCTGCTCCTGTCAGGCCTCGTCACTCCCTCTTGCTTCAAGATCTTACTTTTCCCCAAGAAAAAGTCGCCTGTTGTGTTATCTGGTTGGACATCCTTTGCATGTTAACTCCGGCTCCCATTGTGTTTGCGAAGGCTGTCTTGTGTTGCTTCCACGAGGGCTGCATACCGATAACTTGTTAGGGAAATACAGGTCTGAGGCGGGCGAGAAATGACATTTGCAACAGTTCTTGCGTTGGAGGCCTCTGGGAGGGTTTCGCCGCACTCGGGATTCCGTTTGGACTCGACGGCTTGTCTGAGTTGCCCTTTTTAGGCAATGTGCTAAAAAGTGTGCATCTCATGAGAAATGATTCCATGGCAGAGTTGGTTGGCTTTGGCCTTCTTGAAGTGTGTGGGGTGCCCGGCAGAGCTCCCTCTAAGCTGTGGAGCCTTGTGAGCAGAAATTCTACTTTGTGAGCTACTGGCATTAAAGTTGTGAGCGAGCGACTTGGCTGCTGCAGAACCTGCAAGTAAGAAGGTCTTTTCTCTGAGATTCAGTAGACTCAGGTTGGACAAAAGGCAATACTTCTTTACACAGTGAGTGATTAAAATGTGGAATTTGCTGCCAGAGGATGTAGTGATGGCCACAGGCATAGAAAGCTTTAAAAGGGGATTAGACAGATTCATGGAAGGTAGGTCTATGAATGGCTTCTAGCCATGGTGACCGAAGGGAATCTCCCATGTCCAGTGGCAGTCGACCTCTGGATCCCAGTGCCAGGAGGAAACTTCAGGGAAAGGACTCGGCTTCTGTGCCTGGTTGTTGGCCGTCCAGAGGGACTGGTTTGCTCTGGAGCCCTCCTTCCTGAGCGAAGGCAAATATGTGTGTAAAAGGTAAAGGTTCCCTTGCTCGAAAGCCAGTCGAGTCCGACTCTAGGGTTGCGGTGCTCATCTCCGTTTCAAAGCCGAAGAGCCAGCGCTGTCCGGAGACGTTTCTGTGGTCATGTGGCCGGCATGACTAAACACCAAGGCACACGGAACGCTGTTACCTTCCCACTGAAGTGGTACCTATTTATCTACTTGCAGTTTCTTGCTTTCGAACGGCTAGGTTGGCAGGAGAAATATGTGTGAGCCGGAGGCTAAAAAACTGTGAGCTAGCTCACACAAACTCAGCTTAGAGGGAACACTGGTGCCCAGCATGTTTCATAATTATTTATTTATTTGTACTCTGCCCTTCTCTTCAATGGGGACACAGAGCAGCTTATATCATTCTCTCTTTCATTTTATCCTCACAACAGCCCCACAAGGTAGGTTAGGCCGAGAGAGTGTGTCATCCGGTGAGCTTCCATGGCACCAGGGGAGGATTAGAACCTGGGTCTCCCGGATACTAGTCAGGTACTCTTAACCACAACACCACACTGGCTCTCGTATGAAATAGAATTAGAGAGAGAGAGAGGAGTAAGTCAAAGAATTTTATTTCAGTGGGACTGGTAAACATGCTTAGTGATTTCCCCCTATTGCAGATAGTAATGTAAACGTTAGCCGGATCGTGTCCAAATATCTATGTATCCATTTGTATCCTATCTGGCCTCTAAGGAGCTAACTACGGCATATGTTGCTCTTCTCTCCTATATTGTGTCCTCAGAAAACCCTGTAAAGTAGGTTGGGCGGAGAGAGGGTGACTTGCCTAAACTTACCCAGCGCGTTTTATGGCAGAGCTCTAGGCTAGCTCTGTAAATGATCGTATTCACAGATCCCTTTTGGTATTTTTTTTTTATAAACAACTAATGCGTAGTGTGAGACCAGGGTCTGGGAGACCCAGGTTTGAATCTTGACTCTGCCATGGAGAGTTGCTGGATGACCTTGGGCTAGTAACACAGACTCTGCCTACTTCATAGGGCGCTGGTTGTGGGAAACAACATTGTATCCTGCTTTGGTGTGATGTAGTGGTTTGGTGTAGGGGTTAAGAGCACGGACTCGAATTTGGGAGAACCGGGTTCGATCCCCCACTCCACATGCAGCTGCTGGTGTGACCTTGGGGTCAGTCACAAGTTCTTTCAGAGCTGTTCTCTCAAGGGCAGTTCTCGAAAGAGCTCTCTCAGCCCCACCCACCTCACAGGGGTTGTCGGGTGGGGAAGGGAAAGGTGGTTGTAAGCCGCTCTGAGACTCTGAGTGAAGGGCAGAGTATAACTCCAACCTCTTCTTCTTTAGTTTCCTTTTGGGAAGAGAAGCAGGCTGTAAATATCCAAATAAATTGCATTCGCCTTCCACCTTTCCTGCTTTGGAATTATCACGGGGATGCCAGACCAAGGCCCACTGAACTTTGGTGCCGGATGTATGATGTCCCTTAGTGTATCCGTGGGCTCTTCTCCCTTCCCCATTCTCTTTGCTGTGAAGCATTTGCTGCACACGCTCAGTCTCCTTTTCTCGCACCTCTTCTGGGAGCAAACCGTTTCCCCTTTTCCCTCTGTCAGGCTGCCTCCTCCCCTCCTCCCCTTACCTTTCTTTACAGAGTGGGGGGGGGCTCACACATTTCTGCACTTTTCCCTCTGTCAGGCTGCCTCCTCCCCTTCTCCCTTACCTTTCTTTACAGGGGTGTGTGTGCTCACATTTCTGCATCGGAAGGGAAATGCTGCCTCCCAGTGGCCCAGACAGAAATGGTCACCATTATAAGCTATTCGCTTGCACCTGCATGCACAGTCTTCATTTGAGAATGCAGTGTCACATAAAGTCTTAGCAGCGTGTAAAACAGTCACCCCCCCTTTTTTTAAAAAAAGAAAGAATTGCATGTAATAATTCAAGGTCAAGCAGGGTGGGTGCATGTATGAGCTGGCCCCATAGAGAACGGCGTGTCTTTATTTAATTATTTATTTCCTGCCGTTCACCCCCGTGGGGTTCCCAAGCCGTTGACATCATTCTCCTCACCCCCGTTCTATCCTCACAACAGCAACCACCCTGTGAGGTAGGTTAGGCCGAGAGCGTGCCTGGCCCCAGGTCACCCAGTAAGCTTCCGTGGCACAAGTGTGGATTCGAACCTGGATTTCCCAAATCCCAGGCTGACACTTTAACCACTACACCATGCTGGTGCTTAAAGAAGCAGGAAAGAGCTGCAACTCGAGATGCTAGGATTCTTACCGTTTGGGGGTTTCGTTCCTAAACTAGAACTTAAATCTCTGAAGATAGCATGGATCTGGTATTTAGCAGCTTAAACATTCCCCGTTCCTTCAGCCTCTCTGTTTAGGATGTTTTTCAGAGCTCCCTCCCTCCCCACTCGATCATCTTCATTGCCTTCCTTTGAACCAGTTTGAAAAGGCGGAGCTGAAGGGGAAAGGCAAGAAGGAAGGGATGTGGTTAGAGAAAGGGTGGAGCCAAAGGTGAGGCGCCAATGTGGAGGAGTGACAAGACGAGGAAGGGGCAGTACCAAAGCTGGAGGGCGGGCAGTCGTACTGTTCCCCTAGGCCCACAGAAACCCAGAGCCGGGCTTGTTCAGAATACCGAATTTAGGAAATGCTTAGGAGAGCCAGTTTGGTGTAGTGGTTACGTGCGTGGACTCTAATCTGGGAGAACCGGGTTTGATTCCCCACTCCTCCTCTTGCACCTGGCTGGATGACCTTGGGCAAGCCATAGTTCTGTCAGAGCTGTTCTTGAAAAAGAGCAGTTTTTGTCAGAGCTCTCTCAGCCCCACCTACCTCACAGGGTGCCTGTTGTGGGGAGGGGAAGGGAAAGGAGTTTGTAAGCCGCTCTGAGACTCCTTTGGGTAGTGAAGGGCGGGGTATAAATCCAATCTCCTCCTCCTCTTCTTCTGAACATAGAGTTTTCTTCCCTGGTAACTAGGCAATAAGGTCACCTGATGCCTTCTCTTTCCAGCTCCCCACAAGTACTATATCGGCTTCCGTTATGTCCATCCTCTGACAGAAGAAGCGATTGAGCAGATGGAGGAAGAGGGCGTCGAAAGGGCCATTGCTTTCACACAGTACCCACAGTTCAGCTGCTCGACGACAGGTAAGTTTGCACTCGGAAGGCAGTGTCCAAAGCTCAACTTGATCTGTGATCATTAACTTTGGGACTACTCTTTAAACACTAGAATACGTGAGATAATTGCAAGTAAGAAGGTCTTTTCTCTGAGATTCAGTAGACTCAGGTTGGACAAAAGGCAATGCTTCTTTACACAGCGAGTGATTAAAATGTGGAATTTGATGCCAGAGGATGTAGTGATGGCCACAGGCATAGAAAGCTTTAAGGGGGGATTAGTCAGATTCATGGAAGGTAGGTCTATCAATGGCTTCTAGCCATGGTGACCGAAGGGAACCTCCCATGTCCAGTGGCAGTCGACCTCTGGATCCCAGTGCCAGGAGGAAACTTCAGGGAAAGGACTCGGCTTCTGTGCCTGGTTGTTGGCCGTCCAGAGGGACTGGTTAGCCACTGTGTGAGACAGGATGCTGAACCAGATAAACCACTGGTCTGATCCAGCACAGCTCATGTCCTTATTTTACCTCTCTGTTGAGAAACGACAGGCCAGCCTTGGGAGACGGGGGCCAGACCTGGAGGTGAGGATATGTCAAGCTTCCTTATACTGAATCAGGCCCTGGGTCCATCAAGGCCAGCATTGTCTACTCAGACTGGCAGTGGCTCCCCCAGATCTCAGGTGGAGGTCTTTCACATCACCACTTGTTGACTGGAGAAGGGCCTTCTGAATGCCAAGCAGATACGATACCACAAAGCCACGGCCCTTCCAAGCTAGTTCAAACCCCACCGTTTCGCCCTCCTTCTAAAGTTTACTTTGCATTCTAAGCAGTGCCTTAAATCAGACTCTCATCCTTCCCTTCTTCCAAGGAGCTCAGGGTGGCACGCCGGCTTCTCCTCTCCTTCTCACAACAACCCTGTGAGGTAGATTAGGCTGAGCGAGAGTGAGCAGGCCAAGGTCACCCAGGGAGCTTCTGCACTCGAGTGGAGATTTGGATCTGGGTCTCTCCAGGCTTGGCGTGACTCTCTCACTGCAACATGACACCATCTCCCCTGAGGGTACACTTGACGTTGGAGTGATAGATTTATGGCTGGGGTGGCTGCTTTGGTTGGGAGGGCAGAAGGAGATCGTGTTGAAGCCAGGCATGACACCATCTCCCCTGAGGGTACACTTGCCGTTGGAGTGATAGATTTATGGCGAAGGCAGAGGAGCTTCCCTGTGCAACTTTGAAGAGGCTCAGGGTCTCATGTCAGCTGCGCACCGCAATCCACGCAAAGGCAGTGATGGGCCCTTTCTAGCACGTCGGCACAGACTCTTCGGGGGCGACAGATCTCTGGTGCGCAAGCTGAGCCTTTCCTAACCGCTTTGCGCAGATTGTGGCCATGGTGAATTGCTGAACTCCTGCAGAGTCGCGTAGGGAGGGGGGGAGCTCTTTTTAGGATTTGAGTAGCTTCTAGGCAGGAACAGCTTCAGGAAGGTAGTCAAGCCTCAAAGAGGGGGTATTCCAAAGGCATGGGAAATGCCGTGTCTGACCTCTAAAGGAAGGGGCACGGAAAGCAGGGCTCAGGAAGCGGAGTGTGCCTTACAGTAGCATTTAAACTAGTTCTTCTTGGGAGTTGTGCTTTGTCTGAAGTGGTATTTTAAGAATCTGATACTCGCCTGCTACAGCAGGGTTTGTCTCCTCTCCAGCAGTGGCTAGCGGGGGCACCCAGGAAAGCTTCCAAGCAGAGCTCTGGTTGTCACGAGGATCAGGCATATTGTCATTGAATATGCAAGGTCTGCTTTCCTCATATGCATCCACTGTTTGATGAGTAGTAGACTTGGCGTTCCGTGGGCCTTGGCGTTTAGTCCGGCCGGCCACGACCACGGAAACGTCTTCAGACAGCGCTGGCTCTTCGGCTTGGAAACGATGCGCCCCCCCCCCCCCGCCCCCCGAGTCGGGTTCAACTGACTTTTGAGCAAGGAAAACCTTTACCTTTACCTTTTTACTTAGACTTGGTGTGCTGAAACCCCTGTGGGTCACTCTCCCCGCTAACAGTCATGATTCGTTTTGCGTTTCAGGGAGCAGTTTAAATGCTATCTACCGCTACTATAACACAAAAGGGGCAAAGCCGAAGATGAAGTGGAGCACCATCGACCGGTGGCCGACGCATCCCCTCCTCATTCAGGTGTGGCATTCTTGCAGTGGGGAGCAAAGCCGGGAGAGTTAGAAGAAGAAGAAGAGATTGGATTTATACCCCGCCCTTCACTCGGAGTCTCAGAGTGGCTTACAAACTCCTTTTCCTTCCCCTCCCCACAACAGACAGCCTGTTGAGGTAGCTGGGGCTGAGAGAGCTCTTGACAGACACTGCTCTTTTCAGGGACAGCTCTCATTAGAACTATGGCTTGCCCAAGGTCATCCAGCCAGGTGCATGTGGAGGAGTGGGGACTCAAACCCGGTTAGTCTTGTAACTAAATACACACATGCACACACACGCACTCTCCATTAATAATGCAGTGCACATGAAACTGGCATACTGATACTGGCTGTTGTTCCACCGAGGCCAGTGTTGTCTGCTCTGCCTGGCTGAAGCCCTCCAACCAAGGCCTTTCGTATCACCAACTATGTTGTCCTTTGAACTGAAGATGCCAGGGATTGAACTTGGGACCTTCTGCATGCAATGCAGGTGCTCTACTGCTGAGCCATGCCTCCCCTCTGCAGCTATGCTGGCCCAGTAGCCAAATATTTGTCATGTGCAAGGAGGTGTGAGTTATTTGGATGTTTGTATGCTGTCCTTTCCTCTGGGATCTTGAGATATCATCCCTGGAGCTACTCTGTTGGTTCTTCCAGTGATCGATGGGTACAGTATTAGCCAGTGAGCCAGTTTGGTGTAGTGTTTAAGAGCGGTAGACTCTAATCTGGGAGAACCGGGTTTGATTCCCCACGTCTTCACATGCAGCTGCTGCGTGACCTTGGGCAAGCCACAGTTCTCTCGGAGCTGTTCTCTCAAGAGCAGTTCTCAAAGAGCTCTCTCAGCCCCACCTACCTCACAGGGTGTCTGTTGTGGGAAGGGGAAGGGAAAGGAGATTGTAAGCTGCTCTGAGACTCTGAGTGAAGGGTGGGGTATTCATCCAATCTCCGCCCCCCCCAAGACTAAGGCTCAGTTCACATGTGCAGGTAAACAAGGTGGTAGAATGGACTCCACCTCTTTGGACTGCAGGGGGCATTTTGGAATGTGCCCTCCCAAGCTAAAAACGCCTTGCAGATAGAAAACTGGCAAAGACAGGGTAGAGCTTGTGCTCCGTGGTACGCTAGCTTTCTGCTTTCATGGAGGGTTTTTCTCTCTCATGGAACGAGAGACATTGAAAGCTAGAATCCACCCCTTGCTACTTGAAGTGGTGCAGTCCATTCGTTCCTGTTCTTCTGTTTGTCTAAGCAAGGCCTCCGTCCCTGTCTCCTGCGCCATGCCACTTGTTAGGGGATGGCCCCGCACACGTTGACTGGCATTGTGAAAAGGGGATGGAGAAGCAGGCATGTTGCCTTAATGGTAGAGACCAAGTTGGGTTGGAGGGACGCATTAAGAAATCATCTACCTGGGTGAGATGGACTGGTCCTTATTCGTTGGTCAGTGTTTGAAGAACCTTGAAAGCCAGTTTGGTGCAGTGGTTAAATGCATGGACTCTAATCTGGGAGAACCGGGTTTGATTCCCCACTCCTCCACTTGCACCTGCTGGATGACCTTGGGCAAGCCATAGTTCTGTCAGAGGTGTTCTTGAAAAAGAGCAGTTTCTGTCAGAGCTCTCTCAGCTGCCCCACCTACCTCACAGGGTGTCTGTCGTGGGGAGGGGAAGGGAAAGGAGTTTGTAAGCCGCTCTGAGACTCTCTTGGGTAACGAAGGGCAGGGTATAGATCCAACCTCTTCTTCTTCTCTTCTTCCCGCAGAATAGAATGTGTATTTAGAAAGCTAACCTTCTGAGCCAAATTAAAGCCAGATCTGTAGAAGGAAGAAACAGAAATAATGGGACCTGTTGAAAGAAGCTTGCATGGTTAGCTTGCCTTGTCCAATGCACTTCTGTTTGTTTTAGGAGGCAAGCAGGTAGGCAGGGCATTAGAACCCTGCTCCCAACCCCAAGAAACCCTATTTAACAACCTGCTATTTCCTCTCCGATCTTAAATGTCAACAAGCAGTGATGAGATATTAATAAACTTACTTTTGCTGTGTCCAGGACAGCATTGTCTACTTAGACTGGCAGCAGCTCTCTGGGTTCTCTCATTGCCTACTATCTGATCCTTTTAGTTGGAGAGTTATTAACATGTGGAATTCACTGCTGCAGGAAATGGTGGCAGCTACAAGCACAGACAGCTTCAAGAGGGGATTGGATAAACATATGGAGCAGAGGTCCATCAGTGGGTATTAGCCATAAGGTATAGATAGGAATCGGGGAATTTCCATCGCCTTGAAGTGCCAGGCCCCCGAGTCGTGAAGTTGGCCCACACCAGAGCCAGGACGTTTTCGGTGGCGGCTCCTATCTCGTGGAATGAGCTCCCGGAGGAGATCCGGGCCCTGCGGGACCTCGTACAGTTCCGCAGGGCCTGCAAGACGGAGCTCTTCCGCCAGGCCTTCGAGTAGGAGCCGCCGCCGCCACTATTCCATCACTGAGATTCCATCATCCATCTACCGTATTGGGGGGGGGGGAGATGTCGCCCGATTGAGCTGGGAAATAGTACTCCTGGCGCTCCTCCTATTA